ATGTTAAGCAGTTCTTAAAAACTTAAGTTGCACCATGTACAGGTAATACGGTACTGCCTGTGTCCTGCCCAGTCTAAACCTTAACTGCGCTGTTATTATGGCAATTATGGTAGTTCCTGCCGGAGGTCAGCACAGTTCAGCAAGGAGCAGCCACTCCTGCCTCAGATCCATTTGGTGCCCCTGAGCCACACAGTTCCAGGCACACAGCAAGTCCACATTGGAGCCGCAATCAGCAGTTTAATTCTGAGACTGAGTGTGCAGCACAGAAACTCTATTCATCCAAGTTACAGCCAAATCTGACACGCAGAGCACTGCACAGTCTGAAAACAGTCTGTATGGCGGCAGGAATCCACCATGCTCTTCCACCTGCCTAAGCCTGATCGGGCCTTCTGCCCAGGTGCAGGTGGGGAGCACTGAGCCATCTGCACAGTCTCAGGGCACTCTCCTCCTATCCCAAGCTGGAACACAAACATCCAGTCCCATAAAAAAGCCTTGAAATGCTTTAAAGCCAGAGTTCACGCAGGAAGCCGCACAGCTTTAAAATGACGCAGCTTTTTTTCTGCTGCTGTTGCTGAATCAGGGAATTTCTCTACAGCATGCCACCAACAAACAGCAAAAATCTTTGTTAAATTCTCTCTCCCTTATTTTTAAGCCTTCTCAGGTTTTTAAGTGGATTTAGCCCATCACGTCTGGGAGCCACTCTGTTGAAGGAGCGGCAGGGCTGCGTTCTGGCAGCCCTGGCTCCCACATGGCTAGCTTATGCCCGAAATAATTACATGGAAACTGTATTTTTTTAAACACTGCCTGGCCCGTTATCTGTAGGCTCTTATTGGCTAGCTCTTACATATTGTTCTATCCTATTTCTAATATTCTAACCAATAAAATGGGCCAAGGCAGTTTCTTTATTAGTAAGAAATCACTCCCACATCAATTAAAACCATTAATCCTAATATCTTAATGTAAGAAATATCATGAGATATTTTATTTTGGAGTTTGAGTTTCCTAACTCAGGATAAATGTTTCTAGCTCTACATCCATTTACCTGGATTTGATATTTTGTTTTCCTTAGTGGCTGAATAATATTCAGCTGTGTAAGTAAAGCATATTACAAGATTTAACAATAGGTCTGACTCCCTTCCTTCTTTGACCAAATAACATCTCCCAGCCCAGCCTGTTCGGGTTCTAGGACTGAATCCGAATCGGCAGGGCAAACGGGAGGGTGCTAGCTCCTTTGTCCCCCACTAGTCTGCCTGCAGCGAGCTAGGTAGGCCCTTTGTCCGAGCCACCCAAGCAGCAAGCAGATCCGGTCCAGGCACCAGGAGAGACATCACTGGGGTGAGTGAGTTTTTGACCGCGGCAGCAGCCTGGGACAGGGAACTCAGACACCCCTCCTACACTTCCTGCTCATCCTCAGGGGCTACTCTGCCCGATACCTCCTCTCTCTTCCTATCCCACCCAGCTAGCATCCACAACCCTCCCCCCCTCCGTCTGACTCCCTTCCTTCTTTGACCACATAACATCTCCCAGCCCAGCCTGTCCGGGCTCTAGGACCGAATCTGAATCGGCAGGGCAAACGGGAGGGTGGTAGCTCCTTTGTCCCCACTAGCCTGCCTGCAGCAAGCTAGGTAGGTCCTTTGTTTACAAGCCACCCAAGCAGCAAGGAGATCCGGTCCAGGCACCAGGAGAGACATCGGGCTTGCATCCACAACCCACCCAGAACGGTCCTGAGGAGTTCCATCTGGACGGTAGTCCATGTTTAGGTGCTGAGGAGTTCCAGCTCAACGGGACAGTCCCTGCTTCTACACTGAAAAGATACACCCAGAGACTCATTCACAGCAAAGACTGGACCAAGACACCAGGCCTCTCCTGGCTCCATTTGAAGGAGGAGATGGGAAGGCGCCAATGCAAGACTTCCTCCAACAACCTGAAAGGCAACATGACTTCACCAGAATCAAGGGATCCCGAAATAAGAAGAATTGTACACCCTACTCCAGAAGAATTAGAAGAAATCGACTCAAAAGTGAATTATATGAAAATAATAGAAGACCTTAAGCAGGAGGTGAAAAACTGCCATAAACAATTAGAGATTACAAACAAAAAGGTAGAGGAAATGAATAAATCGCTTAAAGATACCCAAGAAAATCAAGAGAAACATGAAAAAGCAATCAGACAGGTACGGGAAGCAGTTCAAGACTTGAAGAATGAAATGGAAGTAATGAAGAAAACACAAACCGAGGGAAGATTGGAGATGGAAAATCTGGGTAAACGAACAGGAACTACAGAGACAAGTACTACCAACAGAATACAAGAGATAGAAGAAAGAATATCAGATACTGAAGATACCATAGAGAAAATAAACACACTGATCAAAGAAAACAGCAAAACCAACAAATTCTCATCACAAAACATTCAGGAAATATGGGACACAATAAAAAGACCAAACCTAAGAATAATTGGAGTAGAAGAAGGAGAAGA